GAGTTATTGTGCTTCCATTGCTGTTGTTCCCATTCTCCTGAAGGAAAAACTTGAAAATCTCATCACTGAAAAGGTAAAAAATTGTTGTTTTGTAGTGGATTGCTATCAAATCAGTCTGGGCCATTCCAAAATTTGTTTAAAAATGAATAAATGCTGCTTTGTGGGATCCTTAAATGATCACTAAAGTGGGACTTTTGAGCATCTGAGTATCCATATCCAATCCTTTTCAATAATGATTGAATACTTTTAACCTACTGTAATACTGTTATTCTATGAATATGGAAAATGTGCCAAACAATTTCTTAGATGCAGGGTTTTAATTATGCTGGGCTGAGTTGGGCGGAGGCCACCAAATTCTAAAAAAAATTTCCACCCACCCTAAAGCTTATTTTAAGGCCTTCCATCCAGTCTAATTTCAACTAGTCACCAACCTTAAAGCTCTGATAAATGATAAAAGCCCAAACTCTCATAGTACACATTTTTTGTTTTATTTTGCAGGAAGATTCACCGATGAGTCTTTACATACATCAAGATAATGATGTATACACCGTCATGTTGGAGGGAGAGAGGATATTTTCAAGTTCCCATTTATTATCCTCTTTTGAAATTTATTTGGCATGCTATTATGTTTTTAACATATCTTACCCAAAGCCCCTAAAAAAACTCTTCAATTTTTTCAAAGACCTGTCCTGGATATCCAGGACAAGGAAAAAGTACATCCAAGTGTGTATGCACTACTAGATAAGCTAAATTAATGTAGGCAGGTGTACATTCATTACTAATGTTTTTAGATACTAAATGCCCTGGATGCATTGCGTTTTTAAAGGGGCCATTTATTAGAAGATATTTGTCAAATTGAAAGAAACTTTATGCCTAGGCTTGTTTTTAGGTAGGCTTAAACCTGTGATATATTACTGTTTCTTCATTTGATTATGCTGGACAGATGTAGATGAGTCACCCACCCAAAAAACTTAAATTTGTTTATTGCAAAAATCCCCACTTTATCTACACCTAGTAGAATGATTTCGCTTCTAATAATATCAGTTTACAATAAAAACAATTCAGGACGGGAAGATGTGAATAGCATTTATATTGAGAAGTTGACAACAATACTAACTACATATAGGTTTGACAAGTTCATGATTAGATTGACAAAATGATGACAAGATTGTGAGAAGGTAATGACGAGATTGTGACAAGTTGATGACGAGATTGTGACAAGTTGATGACAAGATTCAAACTGGTCAAGATGACAAGTGAATTCTTGTGAATACAGGCACCCGAGCAAAACAAGTTTTATCTTGTCAACATGACAAGAATTTGTTTTCAGTGTATGCATAACCGAAAAACTTCACATAATATATTCAGACAAACAGTCAATACTAAACAAAAGAACCGAGCTATTGTCTAAATGCAGGCACAACAACAAAGACTTACTTAAAAACAATTAACTCATTTGCATTTTCACCTGCCTTAGAATTCATATACTCACACAATCCTTGTATTCTCTCACTCCTGAAGATTGCATTAGCATGAAACAGTCTGTAGATATTCTATCACTCCTGAAGATTATACCCAGTTCTACAAGTTCTACATTTTCAATATTTACGCTCTGCATTATAACGTGTATCGAGCACTGTACGTTGCTAGTATTGCCAACTACATTTATTCATTATATATATATATATACAAAAATGAACTTGGCTTACTTCGACGTTCATCCAGAACGTCGAATTCAAGGATTGCAACTCTGAATTTCAAAAGAAATTATCACAAGATGTTAAAAATATCAAGAATGATGACAAGCTACAGTAATAATAGGCGCTGATAAAACCACCAACTTTTAACGGATGGACACACCATCGTACAACAAACTACTAGAGAGCAATATAACTAAATCATACAAGAAAGCTCATAGGAATACGGCAACCAAGATCCTAGCCGAAGAAAAGAAAATCGTATCACAACTTAATTTAGATAACAGGATTGAATGTACAGCAGAAAAGGATGCATTTGTGACTCTAAAGGATCACAAACCAAACTTCAACAACAGCCCTTCATGCAGATTAATTAACCCATCAAAATCGGAAATCGGCATCGTAAGCAAGCAAATCCTAGAAAGAATAAACAAAAAGGTAATAACATCTACTAAATTAAATCAATGGAAAAGCACCGACTCTGTAATCACTGGTATCGAAACATCCCCAACAAAAATAATCACTCGTTCATATGCTTTGACATTATTGATTTTTATCCGTCTATATCAGAAGATCTACTATCAAAGGCAATAGAATTTGCATCAGAATATGACACCATCACCGACCAGGAGAAAAACATCATCTTCCAAGCCAAGAAATCTTTGCTATTTCATATATATATATATAATATACAGTATATTATATATATTATATGTATAGCTATTTGTACACTGTTATAATTATTTATCTATTTGTATAATACATTACATATTAAAATTAAGTAGTAATTACCAGTATGTTTTCTGAAATTTCTTTATTGTGATTATAATTTGTAGACAAAGCATTCTGTGACATAGTAATGAACAAACAGAAAGACAATGGTGACATCAGCGATATTTGTCAGGTAACAGAGTACTGTATAACAGAATTCAGCAAGTGGGCTCAGGGAATGAAGTTATTTTAGCATTCACTGACTCGAAGCGCATTAAGATCCTCAAGAAACTAAGGAACAGATTTGTAATCCTCAAACCCGACAAAGGTAATGTCGTTGTACTCTTAAAACACGTTGATTACATCCAGTCACTTTATGATTTATTCAGCGATCCAAATAAGTTCAAGAAGATTACCGACTGCAAACTAACAACACAACAGCAAACTTTACAAACCTATCTCCGAACTATCTACAACCATGGTGAAATAACCAGCGAAGAATATAAGAGCATACGACCAACCTCTACCAGACCAGCACGTGCTCATGGATTACGAAAAATACACAAAGATTTTGAGTCCATTCTGCCATTACGTCCAATAATTAACACGACCGGCACAGCCTTCTATCCAGTAGCACAATTCCTTACACGATTACTGAACCCACTGGCCAGCAATGACTATGTACTTAAAGATTCTTTTGACGCATCTGAACGCATAAAGAATATACCTATAGATCTCTACAATCAAAGTCTCCAATCCATTTCCTTTGACGTTCAGTCATTATTTACTAATGTGCCACTTACTAAAACTATTGATGTTATATACTGGGCAGAATTTATAATCAAAAACTCATTACTACTACTCTTAAGAAAAACACTCTACGTAAGCTAATTAGAGATACTTGTACCACAACCATTTTCTCTTGCAATAATGCGTATTACAAACAAATTGATGGTGTGTCCATGGGCTCGCCCCTTGGGCCAGTCCTATCTAATATCATAATGACGGAGTTAGAAAACACTGTTATTCCTAACCTTGAACAGTCTGGTATTATTAAGTTCTATGCCCGTTTTGTAGATGATACATTAGTTCTTGCTAAGCCCTCTGATTTTAAACTCATTTTAGATTCTCTTAATTCTTTTCATCCTTTACTTAAGTTTACATTTGAAGCATTTGATACTTGCAAGTATGTACATTTTCTTGATTTAAACTTCAATTATCGCAATGAAATAAGTATTCACAGAAAGAAAACACACACTGGTCAGTATGTAAACTTTGAAAGTTTTGTCCATTTTAATCATAAAGTGTCATGGATTTGAAGCTTATTTTCTAGGGCTAAGAAATTATGTAACCCAGGTGACTGTCTTATCAATGAAACTAACAATACAGTATTAAGAAATTCATGTCTTGGAATGGTTTTCCTAGACAATTAGCTAGCAAGCTTTTGGATAAATTTGCTTCTGATACTCCTAAGCCTAATGATGTTAATGATGACAATGAAAATGTTAGTAAGGATATTACTAAAATTTGGGTACATTTTCCATACCTTGGTCGTCAAGGAGAAATACTCCTTCGTAGATGTACTGGCAATGTCAAAAGTAATCTAACTAAAGATGTTAAATTCATTACTTTATGGAAAACTAAAAAAATATCATATTTCACTTCAACCAAAGATGTAACGCCTAACGAATATCGTACTGTAGTTCTAGTTCTGTTGTATATCATTTTAAATGCCCTAGCTGTGAATGCGACTATATTGGTAAGACAGACAGGTGCCTTATAACTAGAGTATCTGAACATTCTACTGTCTCTAACAGTGTCATACACAATCATATTGAGTCTTGCGATGCTTTTCAATATATTTTAAAACTTCATAATTTGCCTAACACAATTAAAGATGATTTCATTGTTAATTTCAAATCTCTAATATATTCTAACACTGTAATAATTGATAGTTCTCCTAACTGGTCCCATTTACTATTTTAAAGAAGCCCTTGCTATCCATCGCCTTAACCCTAATTTGAACTGTCGTCTCAAAGCATCAGGAGAGTTGAAATTGTTTATCTAATGTAATCTAACCTCTCTCTCATAATCACCATTATGCTTAATCACCATTGTTATTGTACTAGCTTTTAATCCCCTCATTTAAATATTGTAGCATTTTTTGAAATCACTGTCTAAGTTTTCTCATTCTTGATGATGACCCAATAAAGGTCGAAACATTGAATCATGGCCTCCCTCTCTTTATTCGGAGTAACGTTCATTTTATGTTATTTAAACATAATCAGTGCATCTGAAGGTCTGCAATCATTGCTTTCTTAATTTCCTCAGGTATGTTGTTGTCTTGCCCGTGGTCGTTGACCGTTGTCACGCCCTGAAAAGAAAGTTAGCAAAGACCAAGTCTGAAAACACAAGCCTTATAGCAAAAATAGGTAGACTCCATCGTAAGAAGTCAGACAAGAAAGGCTGCAAAACAAGCACCCAGTACACCTGTCTGAGAGGCGCATCAACTTTTAAAAAATGTAGGGGTAACCCCTAAATAGTCTGTTGTCAAAAAAAGTTGTCTAAAATGTCTAGGAAATACATTTAGCGGAAGAAAGAGTCACAGTAAGTACACAGTAAGCAAAAAGCAAGCGCATTTAAGCATCGTAGGATTTTTAAAACGGCCCAACAACTCTAGTCAGCTTCCAGGAAAAAAAGATCAAGTTAGGGGTCATGTCAGGTATGGCCTTACCGACACAATGCAGAATATATACACCAAATTCCAATACTTGTTCAGTGGACCAACATAAATCAGTGCCTTTGTCAATTGTGTGCTAACATGTCATTGTGAATAAATGCTACAAAGGTCTTCCCTAGTTATGGGCAGTCTGTCACTGACATCAGGGGCAGATTTAGGGGGGGGGGAAAGAAAAAGAAAAAATGATAGCCCAGAACACCTCAAATGTTATTTTCGGGCGTCTAGAACAAAAAATTTCGCGGACGCATGCCCCCGGACCCCCTAGGACATTGTTGTCTCGATTGGCCCAAATTTCGGCCCCCCCTCCTTTCGGTTCCCCCTTTTGGACCATGTCAAATTCAGAATCCAAACTCAATGGAATTCTGCTAAGTTACCTACAAACAGTGCTGTAGGGTGGAATGTGGCCTACAATGGGAAAATGATAAAAAAAGATGAAGCGGATCAATATCACCCAGTCCCAGGCGGGAACTTACTTAACTATAGA